TCTCTCTCTCTCTCTCTCTCTCTCTCTCTCTCTCTCTCTCTCTCTTCTTCAGGCATGCTTTCCTCCCCTCCTAACTCCTCTCATAACTTTCCTTACCCTATTCTCATAATTTTTCTTCCCCTCCTCTTGCAATTTCCCTTCAAATCCTGGTGTAATTTTCCTTCTTGTCTTCTCTGGGACGTACAGGATTCTGAATTCCCTGTGGACAATGGGGTCAACCCGTACCTGAACCAGGTCAAGGCTCCACCAGGTCATGTGACCCGCACTGGAGGATTTCGGCTGTCCAACACCTTCAGTGCCCACTCACACCCAATCAGTGGGTAAGTATATCGGTTTACTCATTTAAGATAAGAGAGAGATCAGATAATATTCTATTTCCTCAGGGGGAAATTTTTCTTGGCTGTACAGGACCGTAAAAGCACATGCTGGTATACATGGAAATTACATTTTATATAACTCTAATTAAAATTCAATATGAAAAGAAAAGTAAACCTGACATATAATGTATTGTATATATCACATCAGAAGCATCATTCTATCACATGCAGGAATTTATAGCTAAGCTTTTAGAGTTATATTGATACATGTCATTTTTCGAAACTGCAATACACATTAATGTTTATTCCTTGTGTACTGTGTGCACTGGAGGTTTTTTTTTCATATTATGTTTAAAAAAACTGTTTATTTGACATGAGTTCCGGAGAAATTATTTTCATTATGAAAGCTAGATCTAACAGCAGTGGATGGATTCAATTTTGAATATAAAGGTTATTGCATTGCACAAACTGAAAGTGTTTCAACTCCTTTACACATTCTTCAGTTTGAAAGTAAATATGTAGCACTTCGTAAGACTAAGATCTATTAAAAATTTTTACAAAGGAAAATTTGACAAATAAGTACTTTTTTTTTAAAGCTAGCTTTTGAAAAGCTGATAGAATTGATGAAACTTGTACATTCACAATTTTCCACTTTTTCTGCTTTTAGAAATAGAGGTCGCTCTATTTTGTTAATTGTTAGATAAATATGTCGTTTTTTTCTCTAATTTTGAATATATTACTTTGCTCTCTCTCAACAAGAGACAAAACCCTGTCATTTCAAAGTCACGGAATGTTCACTGCTCATGAAATTCCAATCAGTGGGTGTGTACAAAGCTGTACTTTTCATTGGACACTATTTTGTTCTTTCTTTTAATCCATGTCTTTATTTAAACATATTTCTGAGTGTAAAACATGGAGATTTCATACTTAAAAATAATGAAGGGACAGGTTAATACCCATTACTCTTTGATTGAATTGGAAAAGTTAAAAGCCCTTTCAGAAACATTTTCTGACTGAAATGACTTGGAGTTTTTTACTTGCTCTATGTTCTGACAAAGAACGTCTAACCTGCCTTCTTCATTACTTTTTCCTTTTCAAGTTGGGTATCAATTGTTATTGCAAAATCTTTGGGTGTTGTCAGTATGCATTTTTTGTCGCTCAGTTCCATTGTATAAAGGATACTACTTTCGTAGTTTAACACTTTGCCTCCTCAGTTCGCCGATTGGTGATGTTTACCACCCAGTTTCTTTGGATTTTCTCCAAAATATGATGGCAAAGTGTTAAGCTTTGGTATAATTATTACAATCCAATAAACATTAAAATGTTCCAGCTTTCTGAAGTTTTTAATAAGGCAAAAATATTTTTGCTTTTTTTTTCTGAATAAGATGTAATTTCTGGTTTACTTCATGAATGCTTTCTAAATCTTTACAATAAGTATGCTGCTGTAAGTGTAAATTGTAAAAATATCTCTATGAGAATGCCCTCTGAAGTCAAGAAAAGTCAATGTCGGATACTCCATTGGTTGAGCTAAATATTATTGAAAACATGATTCATTAATCATAAAGGAATATTTTTTGTTATGGCCTAATTTTTTTGGGTTTATTTTTGGACTTGATTTTGTTTGGGTCTTGCGAAGAAAGAAAAAGGAGGTTCAAATACTTTAGAATTAACCGGTAACACAAACTTAATGCCCTCATGAAAATTGTCCTCTCGAAAGATCGTTGGTATCCTTTCATTATTCGTTTCTGGGTCTTTTTTTTTGGTCTCTCTTCAAAAATTTGAGAGTCAGATGGTCATTAGAGAAATCTGAAAATGAATTTTGAATTTGAAGCCAAAAAATAGAGATTGTGGCTGTAATTAAGCACATAGCACATTTTCTAATTGGATGGATCACACATAAGTTTAACCCTCTCCGTATGCCCTGGGATCATTCTTCACATTTTAGAATACTTCTAGTACGAAGATCTCTTTGAAACTTTCAGTATTTCTCAAAAAATCATTTAAGAAGTTGTGCTTTGTCATGTGTGCTTTGTTATGTCAAAGACAAATATCTACAATGTTTTTACATTTATTTCTTTCCGTAGCATCTTTATGAGCTTTAACAGTTTTTTCTTTTCGGAGATACCCGTGCAAACAAGTTTTTTATCAAACACTATTACATGTGGAGTACTATGCCATCTAAGTAAACTCTTTTTTCCTTTTTCCTACTGGTAGGTCCTACTACTTTTCTTTTCGTCTGTCATTTTTGTCTGTCATTCTGACTCTTTCCCATGCCCATAATAACCATTGCTGTGTCAGTATGCTTTTCTTCACTCTAAAAATTTCTTCCTCCACTAGTGTTGCCCTTCACCCTCGTAAGCAGATACTAGCAACTTCTAGCGATGACCATACTTGGAAAATGTGGGCGGTGCCTAGTGGGGACATCATCATGACAGGAGAGGGGCACTCTGATTGGGTCTCTGACTGTGACTTCCACCCAGCGTAAGTTTTTCAGTGTTAAATTTATTTAAACCAAACCTGAAAGTTGAAATGTGTAAAATGCATAACTTTTGCAGAATAGGTAAGTGTAATTGTAGTCAAAGTATAAGGAGAAAATGAGATGAAACAACTTAGGGATCAGGTTAGGTGACTATTGGTCTGTTATGAATACTTAATTGATAACTGCCTTTCATCGTTCTCTCTCTCTCTCTCTCTCTCTCTCTCTCTCTCTCTCTCTCTCTCTCTCTCTCTCTCTCTCTCTCTCTCTCTCTCTCTCTCTCTCTCTCTCTCTCACTGTCTGTCTCTCTGTCACTCTGATATTCTCATTCTACTGATAAGTCACTCTACTCTGGAAGCTATTATATCTAACATTTGTGAAATCATTATTATCAGTATCATCATCATCATCATCATCATCATCATCATCATCATCATCATCATCATCATCAATATCATCATCATTATCATCATCATCATCATCATCATCTCATCATCATCGTCATCATCGTCATCATCATTGCAGAAAAAGCAGAGGAGGGAAGGACTATTGAGTAACATTTGTTCTGTAAATATGAATAAGACAATTTTTTTTTTGGTCTTTGTCTTCTAAAATGCTCAATGTTTCACCATGAAGGGTCTTTGAGAGTTACATAGAATAAAAGGAAAGGGAACGCTGTACAAATTATAGGGGGAGGGGACTCATAGAGGAAGCAAAACATCATCATCATCGTCATCATCATCATCAGCATAAGTATCTTCAGCATCATCATCATTATAGACAGCAGAGAATAAAAAAAGGTTGAGACTTGGTAAAATTTCTAGAAATATTTTATAATCATCATCATCATTATCATAATCACATCCTCATCATCATCATCATCATCATCATCATCATCATCATCATCATCATCATCATCATCATCATCATCAACTCAAACCCACCTTTCTTTCGTTCCTTCCCAATCATCACAGTGGGTCAAGTCTAGCTACCACGAGTGGTGATTCGACGGTGAAGATCTGGGACTTCTCAAAGGCTGCCTGCGTCCACACTTTCACAGATCACACAGCTGCAGGTATAAAATTATAAAAATAGTAATAGCAATTTTCTTGTGCCCCCATTGACACATAGACACAATTCTGATCAGAGACGGATTCCTTCCATCTGGTCTGTCAGGGCCATCTAGGTTGATAGAGCTCTCACAGAAACACACGGAAATACTCTGTAACAAAAAAAAAAAACCCTCATTACTCAGGAATTAAACTTGCAAACGTTTTTTTATTTTTGAATAAAAATTCAGGTGAACCTGCTTTAAGATAATAAACTGTACTTAAGACGTGTTCCCACTTGCCCCCTCACATTTTTTCCAAGGGGTGACTTAGTGCGACTCACTGCCAATAAAAGCTGCATCATTGCTATCATAATTGTCTTTTTTTAAAAATTAGTGACATATTGCGTAATATCTGACTTTGATATATATACATGCTATTGTCTGAACTTCATAGGTTTGTATTGTTCTCACTATTGCAACAAACATTTTTAACTGGTAATAATCAAAAGTGGTATTTTATTTATTAATTATTTTATTTTATTTTATCTTTTAAAAATGTATTATTATTATTTTTTGTCAAGTGTGGAGTTGTTCCTGGCATACTTGTGGAGACTTCCTAGCCACAAGCTCAATGGACAACACAGCCAAAGTATGGGACATCAACAGGTAAACTGTCTATGCGACTGCGGGATATTAACTCGTAAGCTATTTATGTGACTTTCTTGACCCTATGAGAGATTAACAGGTACACTGTCATTGTGAATATGAGAGATTAACAGGTACAATATCATTGTGAATATGAGGGATTAACAGGTGCACTATCATTGTTAATATGGGAGATTAAAAAGGAAACTTATGAATAGATGTTTGATAAGAAAGAAGAAGCAAACCACACTAGAGCACCCACCAACCACCCAATGATCCTTCTTCAATATGCATGCAAGCACTTGGTAAATGATGCATAGACAACAGCCCATTACAATGCATAAACACACAAAAAATGTAAGCTCTCTTGAGAACTAGAAATGATAATATATTTTTGTGTTGAAATTCAATTTTCTTTTACTTGACTTCATAAGACTGTGCATAAAACAAATTGAATGTCTTATCTTTTCTTCAGTTTGAGGTGTAGATTCACCCTCCGAGGCCATGCAGACTCGGTCAACACAATTGAGTTCCTTCCCTTTAGCAACACTTTGCTCTCCAGCTCTGCAGACAAAACTATGTCTCTTTGGGATGCACGCACAGTGAGTTTTTTGACTCGGTATAACACAACACATACAATGTTTACTAGATCCATCCTCAGGAAAAAAAATTAATTTGTTGAAAATGTATAAATGTTTTGCGCTGTCACAGACACCATTTAGATCATTTAGAAGGTGGTTTGCTCTGACCTGGCCTGTCAGAGCGAGTGACAAAATGCCCCAACAAGCAAATGGAGATACTCAATGAAACATAATGTACCCATACAGGAATCAAACTCACATTTCTGCATTTGACAGCAAAGAGCAGAGAGTCGAACCTTTTTCCGACAGATGTCTGTATGGTGTTCTTATACTTCTGAGGAACACCGCACCATCCGTTTTCATTTTTTATGTCTTTCTTCTCTTTCCCTTTTTGTGCCCTCCCATTCTCCTTTTTAAATAAACATCTCACAAGCTCGCTCTCATGTTATTGATATCTCCTTGTAGTACTGGAGATGCATATTTATTCCACTCTCTGGTGAGCTTTATGCCATTTTAAAGGTGAATACAAGGAATCAAATGCTTTTTTAGATTTGTTATACCCGGTACATAAGTGGTTTGTCTTCGTAGTATGTCAATGTCAGCACTCTCTGTGATTCCTTAAATTGGATCACCATACTCACAGTAAGCTATAAAGTATCGGTACTTTTTGAAAGTCACATACTTTGTGAACCAATTTACTCTCCTGCAAGAAAGACACTAAGAATGGTGCTCTTGTAATCCTGTTTTACCAGTACTTCTTTTGAATACAGGTTTTCTTGATGTTTGGTGCTTGATCCTGCTTTCGAAAAATTCTAATAACATGCAATCTTCCAGGCGAGTTTATGTGTACCATCAACTTGGTTGGTATCATTGTAGATTATCACTTGATTTACCCTTGTTAGAATCCCCAACTAGGCACTCATTAGCTTGTGTTGTGTGGGAAGTTTTCAAGGATATCCGTCAACTTGGTACTGCCCTATCAGAGATGGATATTGAAAATGGAGGTTTCACCTCTTACATAGAACAAGGTAGTGTTGAAAAGGATATTAAACCCAAGCCATAACAGTCTGGTTTCTAATGACATGAAGTGTGTTCAGAATTTTGTTTGTTTGTTTGAAGTACTACACCAGATATCTAAACAGTATCATACCCTGGGTTTCTGTGGTTATTTTTAAGTCTTTTATTTTACATTTTATAGATTACCCTGAAAATTGATCAAAATCAGGTTCTCAACAATTTCTCAAAAGTATGACATAATCTTATATTGTTGTCTGCACGAAGAATGGGTCTCAAAATTATATATTTGTCTGTTTTTCAGGGCTTATGCGCTCAAACATTCTATGGACACTTGCATTCTGTGAACCATGCCACTTTCAATCTCAGGGTGAGTTTGTTGCTTGATAATAATCCAGTTTTCTCTCTCTCTCTCTCTCTCTCTCTCTCTCTCTCTCTCTCTCTCTCTCTCTAAATAATGATATATACATTTATAAGTTCTTTTTTTGTATTGTCATACGTTTTGTGAATTTCAAACATTTGTTGCTCATATTAGTTGTTTTGGAAAGGAAGACGGACTTGAGAAGGATGGGAGAGGAGGTACTTACATATCATAATTATTCAACTACAGACATCAAGGAACATCTTACAATATTGCTTAATTTTGTTTCATTATTTCCTTACTTGTCTTTAATGGAAAATTTAAAGGATGATGAGTCTATCATGATTCAAAAGTCAAGCAGGATTCTGATTTGGGTGATCTCCTCTGTTTTAATTTTCTAAAAACTTAAATAGCTCAAGTGCTTATGGAATGATGGTCACGAAGAGGAAAAAGTATTAAATTGTATTTTATTATTATATTGTACAGTATATTATAATATTATGTAAAATCATGGTATATTTTATCATGTAACAGGATTTTATATGATAAGACGCGATGCGATTTGATTCATAATATTTCCTTTCCATATACAGTACTTCTTTCCTTCTCTGTTTTGTTCTCCTTCTCCCCTTTTACAAAGCAGCCCCCAGTGAGTGACACTTTTTCTTCTCTCCCCACCAGGGTGACACTATCGCCTCCTGTGACTCTTATGGTGTCGTGAAGCTCTGGGATGTCCGTGTTGTTGCGCCCATGGCAAGCTTTGAGGTCGGACCCCACCCTGCCAACAAGTTGGCCTTTGACCCCTCAGGAGGTGTTCTGGCCATTGCCAGCAACGATAGCACCATTAAAATGTATGAGATCGGCACTGGTCAGGTAAGGAACAAAAAAGTTTTCTGAAAAAACAGCTCTTCTTCCTCTCACGAAAATGTGTTTTACAATGGTATGCTCATTAATAATTATCAATAGGCATAAATCATACTGAAACAGGATATCTAAATAATGCGCGCCTATAGTTTGAGTGAATGAGATTCAAAAGTATACCTCATGTATTACACGCGTGATATATAATATACAACCAGGATGGGGCCAAACAAAGGGGAAGTAAGGCTGAGCAGGTGAATAAAAATCTGGGTTTTACAACTTATCTTGACCTCTTGCATAGATTACCTTCTACTACTGTAGTCTCTCATATTAACTCCTTATCTCTGGTAAACCACTGACAGCAGCTTGCGGTCGGAACCGCTGTACCAGTGAGCTGCTGGTAGTGGCTCGGACAAATTCCTTTCCGACGACGTCAGCGGTAAATTACTTTTCAGCAATTGCTGAAAACTGGTCTCTTTTACAGGGAGTTCATTCATTAGGTGATGAACTATCAAAATATGTTCACTTGTTTGGTTTTAATTACCAATTTAGTGACATATATATGTCAATTTTAGATTTCATACCAAAAGAGGTTTACTTCCCTCAGAGATAAAGAGTTAAATAAATCTCAGTGCAGCAACCAATGTTTCTTACTTAAAGCCAAAACACTATATTTAATGCTTGGCATATTTAGCACCTCATGTCACAAATTGATCCCGTATTACACCCGCGACCTACAAAAATGGGCCGATTTTGGAGGCAAAAATATAGTATGTATGGAAAATCATGATATATGTGAGTATATATAAGGTAGGCCTTTCTTGTGTTCTTGAGGACAGCAAATGTTTCGAGTTAGGGTTAACATATTTTGACAAGGAACAATGTGATGTGCTTCCCTCCCGCACAAGTAGCCACATTTGATTTTCCCTGACCGTAAAACCACCCATAATTGAGAAGCAGCTTGACAACATAGTGGCAGTTGGCTGTATAGCCTTCTGGTGTACCTTTTTTTGGAACGACAAGTAGCCTCCCACTACACTAAAAAACAACTACCTAAGCAAAATCTAGGATACAGTTCAACTATCAACCGCCAACGTTTAGCCAAGGAAAAATAGAATGCCTGGTAAGGATGATTGTTGAAAAAAAGAAGAAGTTATTAATGCATATTTTGCTTTCTTGTTTTTCTTGTTACAGATTCAGTCTCTGGTTGGTCATGAAGACGCTGTCCAGTGTTTGTGCTTTGACCGCAGTGGAGAGTTTATGGTGTCAGGGGGAAGCGACTCCACTGTTCGCATCTGGTCCTAGTTGAAAGTAGCAATGTTTAGTGTGTCGTTATTTTTGCTCATGAAACTTTCATCATCATTCTTAATATTTATCAAAGATTTTTTGTTGTTTCAACTTAAAACAAATTCACCAAAACAGAAATTCGACTTTGCACCTGTAAACTATGGTTTGATAAAAAGGGATGAAATTGTGACACCATATCAAGCAAATCCGGTATAATGTTTTGGAATAATACCATAACAATTTAGTTAAGACTTTCAAAAGCCTTCAATGTTGTAGAGAAGATCATTTCAGTAAAATAGAAATGAGCCTATTAACTATGTAATGATGACATCATTACTGATCAGACATTGTTGTCTATTTCATTAGATACAAAAGGATGTTGCTAAATGCCTTATTCATTTTTTGGGTCAAAAATTGAAATGCTCCTGCACTATTTATAGGTGTATTCTCCCATAAATGTATGAACCATTTTCAAGACCTAAGGCAGAATGCCTATTCTTGAATCATTTCAATTCCATATAAATACTGCAAACTTCTCTTTTCTCCTCTTTGAACTTCGTTATGATAGAGGCAACAAGTTAAACCAAATGTAATAACCTCTTTGTATCCCTGTAAGTTGTGTATAATTGTTGGTACAATTCTCACTACAGCTAAATTTAAACATGTGATAGTACTCTTTTGCTGAATTGTTATCAACGTTTTTAAAAATTAGTTTTATTTTACTTAACTGTGGCACCTTGATGAAATCAAGGGCTCATCAATAGAATGAAACCAAAAAAACAAATAGTTTGTTCAACTGCTGGAAATATTTATTGAATTTTTTTTCTAGGCTCAGCACCTTTTGTGTCCATTAAAAAATACATTTTTGTGTGGATTTGCTGAACAATGTGGATCAAAGGAACAAAAACTGTAAATTTGCAATTTCCAATGACACCCAAGCTTTGCAAGTCACCATAATTTGGCGACTATTTTCTCGCTAATTTTACCTCTGACACCAGGCAACCCCTGCCTTCTTCAATAGCAAATATCTCGACTTGTATTCGAGATAGATGCTTCATATTTTCATTAAAGCATGACAAATGAATATGCTTTAAGGTGATACCAATAACTCCACGTGCCCAAAAACTGATGAGCACCTAATTCCGCCATGTCGGGACTCATATAGCTTGTACATGTACTGAAGAAAAAAACAATTCAAAATCGTAACATTTGTGAAGGTTTCTGTTGGTTTTTTTTACCACACTAAGGACAAAAAGGAATGATAATGTAATTTATGAGAGCATGTATGGCAAACGTATTCATTTTTTTAAAAAATCCATCAAATTTGGGAGTGTTATTCATGATGAATCTGATTTATGCACAGAAGACAATTATTATGGGTGAGCTGATAGCTCATTTGGTGTCTTGCTTGACCACAATATGGATGACCCAGGTTCAGATCCCCAATAGAGCATTCTTGATCTCAGGATGTTTAGGACTTTTCAAAGGTCTCCTCAGACTTGGATGGGTCTTATTAGAGCTGGAAATAAAATTCTTGGATCTTTTTTATTGAAATATCTTTCAGTGATCATTAGGGACCTAAATCCGTAGCAGACACAGTTTATGTGGTGACAAAGTCCAGCTGTGATAAAAACAATTTTGAATCTGCTTGAACTAAAAAGTAATAAAACAGTGTAAAGTGTAAAGTCGATGAGTTCAGTACTATAACCTCAGCTTATTCTCTTTTCTAGTTACAAAGTGTGATTGGAATTTTGAGACTTTGATGCATGTAATGAATAAAATATCTTTACAATAGAAAAATATGTGTGTATTGGGTTGGAATTATTTTTTTTTCTTTTCCTTTTAGACACATCATGCTTTGCTCTCATTAATTTCAGATCTGGCTGGGACTCCATGTCTTCTAGGATTGAGTTACTGCAGTTCTTATAAATTAGACTTGTCTTGTTTCAAGCAAGGTTATTTACTGGCCCGTAGTAAATATTGGCTTTTGCTGGCCTGGATTTTGTTCTCTGATCTGAACACTTGAGCTATTGAGAGTGCGTCTCGTTTGACTATGCAATTTATACGTGGTATTTACAGTAAAGGGAAAAGGGAGATATATATATATATATATATGAGACCACTGACAAAACTGAAACACCCTTCCCTATGACTACGAGGAATTATATTATCACTTGCTTGCTTGCCCAAACTTTTTATAATTTATAGTGTCAAAAGTTCGGCAGTTTTCCAGATTTGTGTGTTTTATTCACATTTGCTGGATTCAGGTAATATGGTAAGGGTTAAAAATCTCTCTCCCTCACTCACACCCTCCCTATATCCAACACATGAAAGCACACATAAACACTCACACACATATACACACTCACATACACAGAAACACTCTCTCTCTCTCTCTCTCTCTCTCTCTCTCTCTCTCTCTCTCTCTCTCTCCCATACACGCACACTCACTCACTCACACCCACCCCCCTACACACACGTGCGTGCGCACACGTAAGAACAAGTATAGCTATTTGTAATCAACAACTCTTCCGAACTGGAAAGGATACTCAGAATCTGACATCAGGGGCCGAAGATGACACCATAATACTATCCTGCAGGAATGAACTGAGGTGTTGACAACTCGAGAGAAGTGCGAGGTGACTCCAACTAACCCCCTAGGTAAGCACACGGAAGAAAGCAAAGTCGGTGAATGCTGAAGGCAGTCATATTTATTTCACACCTCCACTAAAACGCCTACGTAAGAGAAATCTGAAAAAAGGTGTACGCGTGAACGCCGATGCTCAACAAACAAGCAACAACAACAACCAACCCCCCCCCAAAAAAAAAAACACACAACAACAAAAAAAAAACCAACAACCAACAACAACACAACAACAACAACAACAACAACAACAACAAAACACAAACAAAAACAAAACTCAAAACATTTTTTTGTTCAATATTAAAAACAACAACAAATAAACAATGACAAAACAAAGGAGAAATAATCAAAGTTGAAGAGGTAGTGAAAGGGACCCATAATAAGACAAGATTCGATTATAAAATCCTTTTCCAAAATTCTACTCTCAGACGATGCTATTATTCTCTAACCGTGTAACTGGTTTAACAACTTTCCAGCAAGCCACCCCCCCCCCTCCCCCAACTCGCTAAAAAAAAAAACGCTCGTAAAAGAAAATACCCCCCTCCCCCCAAAAAATACCAACAAATAATATATAATATTACAAAACAAACAAACAAACAAACAAATACTAACAAGTGAATTAAACAAACACACAAACAGACAAACAAACCAGCAAACACACGAACAAAAAACACTTTAAAAGCAAGACTTACAAGATGATCAAAGTCAAAGGCAAAAAAGATAGCCCAATGTTGTTTTTTTTTTTTATTCTGTCCAATCTGACTCCTGGTAAGTTTGATTGAAGACTCCTAGATCGAGTTTAGAACAACAAGAGCTAGGGTCTAGAGAGGTACAGAAATATGCACTAATAAGATGGTATCGATAGTAATGGTAGCGAATAGGCCTTCCAGAAATTCTTCCAGCCAGAAATGACCTCCCAATAGATACCGAACCGCCTTCAAGAGAGGAAATTGCAGCCGCTATAAAAACACTGAAGTCCCACAAGGCAGCTGGTCCCGACCATATGCCACCCGAAGCACTTAAGGCAGATAAAGATACGTTAGTGGAAATTCTCTATGCTCTATTTGAAAAGGTTTGGCAAAAAGAGGAAATACTATCAGACTGGAAGGACGGCCACCTAATCAAGCTGCCAAAGAAGGGAGACCCCAGCAATTGTAACAACTACAGAGGCATCACACTCCTGTCCATACATGAGAAAGTCTTTAACAGGATACTCCTGGAGAGAATCAAGCTGGCAACAGACGAGAAGCTCCGAGGTAACCAGGCAGGATTTCGCAAAAACCGATCATGTGTGGACCAGATCGCTACTGTACGCATCATTGTTGAGCAATCACTTTAATGGAATTCACCACTTGTGGTCAACTTCGTTGATTATGAAAAGGCGTTTGACAGCGTGGACAGGGAAACGTTGGAAACTCATGCACAATTTGGAATACCTGACAAAATCGTCAAGCTTGTGAAGGCCACCTATGAGGGAACAAACTGCCAAATCTTCCACGAAGGACAACTCTCAGAATCATTCCAAGTACAGACAAGAGTGCGACAAGGATGCTTGCTCTCACATTTTCTCTTCATACTGGCAATTGACTGGGTCATGAAAGAAACCACCAGAGGCAAGCGTAATGGAATACAGTGGATCCCTTGGCACCAGCTGGACGACTTGGACTTCGCTGATGACCTTGCACTGCTCTCTCACGCACATGCTTAGATGCAAGAAAAGACCAAGGAACTCAACAGCCTATCAAGGAGTGTTGCCGGCGTATACATCCAGGCAAGTCAAAAGTAGTGAAGCTAGGACACGTTAAAGCCCTACTGCGACAGTGGAAGAAACTCCCCTGGAAGAAGTGGACTCCTTTACCTACCTTGGAAGTGTCATCGATGGTACAGGTGGAACCGAGGCTGACGTTAAAGCAAGAACCGCTTAGGCAAGGTCAGCATTCAATCAATTATCAAAAGTCTGGAAAGCAAGTAACATCTCACTACGCATCAAGATTCGACCCTTTAACTCCAACGTCAAGTCTGTGCTCCTCTACGGCTGCGAAACTTGATTGGAAGACAACAAAGACAGTACTGAATAATGTTCAGACTTTCATCAACAGATGTATGAGGAGTATTCCAAGAGTTAAGAGGCAGGATAGAATAAGAAATGAAGAGCTGTGGGAAAGGACAGGACAAAAGGATATAGAAGTAGAACTAGGATTAAGAAAGTGGCAATGGATGGAACACACCTTAAGAAAGCCCAGCGGAAACATCACAAGACAATCACTGCAGTGGAACCCACAAGGAACTCGAGGCAGGGGTAGGCCACGGGAAACATGGAGAAGATGCGTGGAAAGAGACATGAAAGAGATTAAGTTCACTTGGAACGAGCTAGGAAGGATGATGGCTCTGGACAGAGATAAATGGAAGGAGCTTGTATGTGGCCTATACCCTGCCAGGGGTGAAAGGCATTGATGATGATGAAGAAGATGATGATGATACAATGTTTTGATATCAGACTAAAAATATTATTATTATAACCCCCCCCCCCCCCCCCCCCCCCCCCCCCCCCCCCTGCGCGCCCTCTCTTCAACAGACAGTCTTGAAACTTTTCCAATCCAATGGGAATGTCTCATTTTAAAAATCTGACACACCAAAAATTATATTACTGCGTACCCGTCAAATATCCTGAAAAGAGAATCGATACCAACAGAAAAAACCGGCACAAATTTCCATTTCCCAACAGTTGATATTGTCGACTGCAACCGTGTATGTGCATGAACATTGATTTTTTTAAATGGGAAAAATAAATCCGCAATTTCTTTCTCTTTGTCTTCCAGAATTACTCACAATTTTGCGTAGAGTTTTCATTTTCATTTAACATATGCTTTCAAAATCACAAATAACAATT